GTAAAATCTGAAGTGCAGTTGCACACTCGCATACGTTTGCCCGCATACGCCTAGCTGTTTGCTTGCAATATCCTATGATCCTATGGTGTCAAGCACTCGACAGTGTTTGCTGGTCACTAGTTCACTGGTAGATAAATCTGTGTACACTCTTAAATGGAGCCTAGTGTACAGCGGAGAGTAAAGTTACTTAAGGTGCCATGAAATCGTACAGCACCTGTGCAGGGTGCAGTGTGCACTCTAAATGTCAAGGACAATTTTTGTAACTATCACCGGACTTCTGCGTGCATAACTGAATTCAGATACAATATTGTGACTTGCTAGTCACTAAATGTGTGTTGGTAGTTACAATATTGTATCTGAGCTAGTTATGCACACAGAAGTCCGGTGCTAGTTACAAAAATTGTCCTTGGACGTTGAGAGTGTGCGCACAGCCTCACGGTAAACCGTTTTCCAGACGGTTGCCTCGTACATCGTGGTCCGTATCAGATTTATAACGTCAAAGGTTTTTTCTTTAGCTAGGCAATGCCGTTTGTTGAGATCTAGGAAGGCATTTCGGGTATTTTAGAAAGGATGACTTATGGTGTCGTTCCGATACTATCAGATATTGTTGTGTCCAAAATCAAGTACACACCCAGAGAAGCAATTCTTTGGCGTATAAAATTTTTTATTTACCTTAACGAAAATTTTATGGCAGAAATCAAAGAAACCCTTTTCGTTTAGATGGCGAAAATTTGTGTTCAATCCAACCATTTTTTTGTCAAATCAAAAAAGTGTCACATTTATGTTCAGCAAACGACATTTTTTATTCGTAACAACTAAAATTTCATTCGTTTCGGCAACGTCAAAATTTCTTTAGAAAGATATGGTTTTCTGGGTGCAGTACAAACGCTGTGAGGTCCGCGCAAGAAGTAAGCGAGATAAAACTTGAGTCCCGGTAGCGAACACGTTCACTTTAGCGATTGTCATTCATCAGGTTAGGTGGTGGGCGACTACAAGTATGAGAATCTCATGCAGTGCAATACGAAAAAGTTGTCATTCTTCAACACCGGTTCCCATATTTTGTCTGCGGTTATTTCTGGAAAAGAATTACCGGTAATTTTACCGTCATTATTTATTGCAGTGTGTGTACGTGCCACGTGGACAGTATCAGACGCCCTCTTTCCTCTTGTAGAAAATCGTGGACATTTTGTAAAATACCCCCATAACCCCTCGCATGTCCATGTCTATTACATGTAAGGTCCCTGGTTAGTATTTTATTGTCCACCTTTTGAATGGCTTTTAGAAAAAGGAATTCAATAATTCAAAACAGTTTGCCCAAGTCGCGCTTGTCCAGTTTGTTGGCCGCCCGTCCTTGCATGCCGAGAGGGGCATCACACTCCGTCAAATAGATCATTCTTTTGGGCGACGAGACAATGCTGGCTCCTGAAGGCTAACCTACAGTATGGCGTGGCGTGCCGACACGGCGGCGATGCGTACGGCGCGCCAAAAGAGAGTGGCGGGTGGCGGGGGGCATTAGTATGGGGAGCACAACGACATGAGACGGGCGGATCACGTGGCATGGCGGTAGCGAGCAGAATGTGCTTGTGTCTCCCTTTTTCTCACGCAAAATTGTGGGTAAAGACAGAGACCCCAGTGCGCAGGGCAAATAGAGAGAGAACAGTATAGAGTACAAATTTGTTTAAAAGCGCTAGCCGTGCGTCATCTTCCGTACTGTAAGGTATGACTACGACGCCTATTACACACTGAAAACAGAGGTGTGCAACTGGCATGCACATGGTAGTGTTTAACTTCATGGTGAACACTTTTCGGTGTTCGGCTGGAAATTTGACTGGACACTTTCAAAGTAGTGTCCAAAGCTTATGACCAACCCTGAAGTTACACACAAATGTGTTTCACTTTACTGTTAAACACTTTCAGTATTCACAGATCCATTTGTTTACTTAAACGTGTGCGACGTAGTGTTCCGCACTCATTTCCGATTTACAAAATATATTATAAATTTACGACAGCCCGTTCTCGCACGTAAATAATAATAGGACATGTAGGTAGGGGCATCTGTGCACAAATCAGGTTTTTTGGTGCGTCATACAGTCTTATCATGTTCTTTCTGTCACTCCTCCGAGCTTTTACCACGGTAGCAAATTGCTGAAACAAAATGAGCAGCTCTACAGAAAAATTATACCGTGAGAAGAAGGTTCGTGGTTACGGATAAAAAGAAGTGTGATAGATTGGCCGGCTGGCTTGCTGGACACGTTGACACGAATGCTACTAGTGGTGCTGGGAAGCTTTTTACCTTGCATGCTGTACATGCATTTTTCTTGTGTGGAATTCAATAACAAAACAATTCATACCAATATTAACCGTTCATAAATACTCTTTGAGTATTGACTTGCCTAGCTTTGTTACTACAGCGAGTGGTTCTGTTTGGAGAACAGTGTACTGCTGATAAGAACTTTTATCCCTACAATATCAAATGAAATGCTTAGTTTTAACTGCGTATCGCCGTAGTTGTGTTTAGGAAAATTTAGGGAAATTATATGGAGTGCCTCGGAAGAAAAGAGTTTTGCCCTGGCGTTTTCCGACAAAGGCCGCATGGCATGAGAGAAGGCACGACGCGGCCTCAATGGATGTAAAGGACTATGATGACGATAAGCGTGTCCTAAAGATCCACCATGCATGCCTTCTTTCTGTTGTGTGCCTCTCGGTACCTCTTTCGTTACTGTGTTAAATCTTTATTTGCACCTCATTCTGCAACACTGGAGCAACTCCGGTGAAAATATTGGTCTCGTTGCACATTCCTTGCACATTGTACATTCCTTGCAACCATGGCTCATCTGTTTGCATGGTGCGGCGAACTTCAAGAAACGTTTTCGGCCCAGAGTCTATGATTATCGTTATGCGCCGTACTTTTTTCTGTTTATACTGTAGCGCATGTAGGTCAGGGGGGAAATTACTAAGTGTACACTAAGTGTTAGTAAGTGTACGAATTAGTAAGTCAGTACAATGTATTTTGAGCGTAATGTGTCATCATTTTTACGAAATAATTCCATGACAGCGCTTTTACTCTTCTTGATTTCTACCATTAGTAAGTACGCATTAATACGCCCTCAGTACGCTGTTAGCACAGGGTATGAGTTAATACGCATGCCTCGATGCAGGCATGCGAGCTGGCTTGCCTATCGACTCTCTCTCACCACGGCACCTTACGACAACAAGTAAGCCGGAGTATGCAACCCGTCGGAACGCCTGCATCCGGTAGCTCGTCCGGGACAGTATATAACCAGAAAAAGTACGGCTAAGAACACCCACCCTGTATGAGATATTATAGGGATGTTTTCAGTTAAGATTTTTAACGGGCCTACGTTCTCTTACAACTATGTGCCCTTGTGCTACGTTCTGCTAGCGTCTGTGGCAGAGTCGCATAGCACTGTTAGCGACCAGTCAAATTAATTTTCATAGAAGAAAAGCAAACAGTTGTCGTGTAAAGTCGGGCACACGTAGAGTTCCTCGCATTACTATTGACAACTTGTACTTAATTATGAAAGATATGAGGTATTTTAAGAAAAAGAATAGGGAATACCGTCTGCCCCGGTAATTCTGTTGTAACGAAGACTATTGTTTTTCTCAGACGGTATCCACTCTCTCCTCTCTATTCATTGGGCAACAGCTAACTCCCGTTACATCATGCTGCACGGCGTGCCAGAATAATGAAGGCACCTGACTTATACGATGTGGAAATTATTGAAACGAATTTATAGGTTCTGCAAAACTAGAAGAACCGGATGAAAAGGGTCCATGCGCTGCTTATATCATCGTTCCCTTGTTCCTCGTGTGTGACTTCTCTGATTTTATGAAATGCGTGCGTCATGTTGCAGTTCCTATATCGGCGTCGGTAGTCGACGACGAGAAGACTCCGCCAGCTCTTGTGGATGACAGCGACGACCAAATATGCCAGGCAGTTGGGTCCTTCGGGCGATGGCAGCTCAAGCTTACATTTCTTCTGTCGTTGGTCAACATCCCTTGCACGTGGCATATCTTCGTGCCTACTTTCCAAGCCGTGTCACCCGAAAATTTTTGGTGCCAACGGCCACCTGGACTCAGGGACTTGACTCCTGCCATCTGGATGAACCTTAGTCACCCTTTCTCCATCGATTCGGTAAGTTTCTGCAGTTATAAATGTTTGGTACAGAAGAGTTTGTCAACATCCATAACTTTTATATGTATCCCAGTAGGAACAATTTTCTGTGATTAACACTTTGACGTACTAAAGTGGTAGAAAAACTGCATGTAAAATTGCATAATTTTAAAGTTTAAAATTTTCACTTTACTCTTGAATGTTTAATTTTTTCTTGTCCCCCCTAAGAAAACATTTCACTCTCAGTTCTTAATCTATCTACTTTTTTAAAAATGTATCAAAGATGCTTAAATCTGTTAATTCTAACCTATCAATGTGGGGCAGAGTCTCTTGTCGACTCATTTGACCTTCAGTGGTAACGTCCTTGCAGTTGCACCGTGTGAAAGTTTACAGGCCACTATCTTGGCTGCGTAAAGATCGCTTGAGTAAGAGAGAGAGAGGTGCTCGGAGCTTCTCTAGTCCTGCACTCCTCTCACAATCAAACAACTCGGCCTTTTCCTTATCGCACAATCCCCGTCCATGTACGAATGAGGCTGCGTTCGAAAACTACTAACTCGTGGATAAGGGAGGGGGAAGTCGCGTACCCTACCTTGTCACCCCCTCTCCCCCTCTGTCAGCATTGGCAGGTGTTGCATTGTGAACATCGGTTGCGGCCTGCAGCAGCGGCCTGTTGTCGGCGCCTGTCTATTGCTTTGCTTACTCTGGAAGTAGTCACAACCACATCAATGTTTCGAGATGCATAACAGCGACCCTGTTTACCTGCGTAATGCGGGTATTGTGAAATATTAGTAATTATAATCTACGATTAAAAAGTAGAGCTCTTCAAGACACTTTCTGCCTCTTCTCTGCACTGCTCTGCTTCTTGACTGCAGCCAATTTTCAGATTCGTGGAATCTCTCGGTGTTTTCTGTTTAAGCAGTTGCACATTGCGACAAATTCCTTCGTAAATTTACAACATATTTTGTCTTTACGATCAACAGAATATTTTTTAAATTAAGACAGCCCATACTTGCTCGTCAATGGATTTCAAGTCGATCCATGGTGCTTGTAATTTTACAATTTTAAGTTGCAATTTTACAACAGGTATCCCTATAGCCCTTCCGAGAATTTCTCACATGTAGATTGATTTTCTTGTGCTCCACTGCACTTTTACATTGTTTTTATCGTAGAACTTAACAATACCACTTTTGAAAATAGCTTAGCAAAACTCTTGTCCTTGCCTTCCGTACAGCTTACCAATCGAATGCCCTGTTAAAGGCTTACAAAGCATCTTCTTTGTAAGCTTACATATTGTTGATATTTCGTATTACAAAGCAGTGCTCTGTAGGCGACGAGGCCGGCTTTCTGTGTTATACTGTGCTTCTGTTTTCTTTGAAGCTCTCAAAGATAATTCTTTGTATTACGAAGCAATGCTTTGTAGACGTATTACAGTGAAACCACTCATATTCTGAAAATTGCACATTTATCAGCTTTCTTCTACTCCGAAGTATTTTCATTTAAAGTACTCGTACAACTATTCTTGTTTCTTTTCTGTGCTCCTATGCATTTCCAACTTGTTTTCATTCCTACCAACTTGACAACTCCCTGCCCCCTTCCCCCTTCTCTTTAACATCTGTTTGATTGGTTGAGCAAATGAATAAAAACCAGGGTGACTTGCGTTGCGCGCTACTCTTTTTTCTTTGTCGGTCTCTTACTCCGTTTCGCGCTTAACATCCTTTGCTCTCTTTTAGGTGGTCTCCCTGCACATGCATGCGCACATATACTGCTTTAACGGCCCTCTCCCCTTTCCACCATTAATAGGATGCCCGCGATAGGTAGGCAATTCTCATTCCCTATCCACCATCAATAGGATGCCCGCGATAGGTAGGCAATTCTCATTGCAATCTGCCTTTGCAAGTAGGCATAAGGAGCGCCATGCTCGCCGCCGCCCCCTCCTCTCTTTTTTAATCGAACCCAAGGATCGCATCAAGAATTTAAGAAATGCTTTGCATGCCTTTAAAGTTCCTATAACACCTTGGGCGACTAAATTTCTCTAACCGTGGGTTCGTCCCAGCCGAAAATTCCGGTTACGGTTACGGCTACGGTTACGGATACGGTTACGGTTACACTCGTAAATTGGACCCATTTCCGGTTACGGTTACGATTAAAGTTCCGGTTACGATTACGTTCACTGTTTCGGATACGATTACGGTTAGTCAGCCCGGTTACGGTAAGGACGTTCCGGTTACGGTGGTGACGATGTATCGGCAGTGACTCAAAGCCCCCATTAGACCAGAGCACATGTCGCCCATGTAAACTTTTGACGCCGAGCACAATGGTGGTGTTTTCGTTGCCGAATCTCTTACAGTTCTCAAGATAGCCAGGCGTTGAAAAATCGACTCTTTCCAAACTCCACACATAGGTGTGACTTGTGTTTCCCTTGCGTTACCCTTAACCGTTTCTCACTGCAAAGCTTAGTTTAAGCGCTACGACGTTTTAAAGTTTGATATTTTCCGGTTACGATCGTAATCGTTTACATTACTCGTAACCGTAAACTGCTGACCGTAAGCGGGCTACGGTTACGGTCGTATTCGTAAGCTTACTCGTAACCGTAAGTGTAAACCGTAATCGGCGGACTACGGTTACGATCGTAATCGTAAATTTTAACCGTAACCGGAGCAAATTACGGCCGTAATCGTAAATTTTGACCGTAACCGTACAAAATTCCGGCCGTAATCGTAAATTCTGGCCGTAACCGTAACCGGAATTTTCGGCTGGGGTTTCGCAATTAACAATAATTGGTTTTTCTCCGCCTTTAAGAAATGCCGTTCTTCAGATTTATTTTGAAATTGTCATCTCCCAGTGACGCTCCAAAGTTGTCCGATCTTCTTTTGACGCTCTCTGTAGCATCGAGCGCCACCCTGCTCTTTCTATTTTGAGTGAGACAATACCGGCAGTAGAGAGAAATTAAAAATTGCTGTGCGTTACTTAGGCTTAGCAATTTTTACTTTTTCTCCACTGCCGATGGTGGTGTGCGAATCACTCTTTTTCAGAGTCGAATCGAATCGAATCTGGATGTTTTTTCCTCGAATCGAATCTTCGAATTTTACCCCAAATCGAATCGAATCTTCAAATTTTACCCCGAATCGAATCGTACTATTTCGAATGCGAATCGAATCATTTCCTAACTCTCTGTCAACTCAAATGTGTACATAGTACACATTAAATAAAGTGTACATGGCATGTATGCTTTAATGAATTTGTACATGCCTGTGTACCTATTTATAAATGTGTACATGCCCATGTACACATTTATAAATGTGTACATAGGCATGTGCACTTTTAAAGATGTGTACATGGCATGTATACTAACGGTTGTATGTACACTTTAAAATATGTGTACACGGGCATGCACACTTTCTTTAATGTGGACCATGTACACATTTGAATTGACAGAGATTCTAGGAGATGCTATAAACCATTAAAATGGGGCAGCCAATAAGTGTTGGGGCTCAGATTCTCTCTAAAAACAGAGAGATTGGCAAACCATCCT